GAATTTTATTGGTCAAGAAAGTACTTTACATGTTAGAATTGTCATGACCTTGTGGTGAACCAGTGAGTCTTAAGGAAGGCATAAATTTTCCCAACCTCTTGTATCTGAACAAAGAGCATTAATCACATAGATGTCAAATGAGTGGTCTGATAGGCCCTGTAGCATAGCCAAACTAATTGGGTTGAGTAATTATGGATATTTTGGCTATAAAGTTGGTCACTGGTTAAATTAGTTAATATATCAGATGTTCTACAACTCAATTTATATAACATGCTCCTTTTCTATACAAAATAAAATAGTTATATTTGTTAAGGAAAATACAGAGTAATATAAGATATATTCCCCCAATGGAAGATTAAAAAATCTGCTGGTGAGGCAAAGTATAAACCCTTCAAAGTCAAATGACATTGTATACAAATATGTAAGATACTGCAACACAAACCGAAGATTACAAATAAATGAGCAATAGATTCATGATATAGCATGTCAAAACCATCTCCATTAGATTTTCTATTCCTAGATGGCTTCCTGAAAATTCCTCTCAAAAAAACAAATCTAAGTGTGTGTGAATGACGTGGATATTTTACAAATTATCTGAATCCACTGTTTGACTATTATCAGTAAGACATCACTCCTGTCACATATTTACAATTAATAATGAGCTCTTGGTAATTTTTAAAGTCATGATTATAATAGTTACTGTCAATCTGTACTGTTAATAAGGTAGCCATGAACCACATATGGCTATTGAGTATTTGAAATGTGGCTACTCAAATTAAAATATGCTGTAAGTATAAAACAGTGGGTTTTGAAATCTTAAGATGAAAAAAGTAAATGTAAAATATTTGATTAATTTATATTGGTTTTAGGTTTATATGATACTATTTTGGATATATGGGTTAAATAACATATATTATAATTAATTCCATATTTTTAATCTTTACTCTGGAAAATAGAACATTAAAAATTACATTTATGTCTCACATTATATTTCTGTTTAGCTGCACTGCTATAGATAAACAAAATCATTTGAATTCAGAGGAAATAATTTCCTGTAAGTTGATAAAATTTCAGGGAAGTATTTTTGTGAAAAGTGTATAATTTCTAAGATGTAGCCTGATACATCATCATTCTGCCACTAATTGTATACTTTCAGCAGTGCAAAACTCACTACTTTAAAAACAGTGCTTTTAAAAAGAAAAAAAAAATTGCAACATTAATCAATTGTTCCTATAGTAAACAAAATTTCAGCCTCCAATTAATTTCTGTTCATTGATTCTGGTTGTTCACTTTGGAACCACAGAGATTAATTCAAATCCCTAATATGCATAGTGACCTTTTAAACAAATGCAGAATAAGCTTTGATCAGGAAATCTAGATTCTAAGTGTACTTCTAATGAAATCTAAGTTTACGTGATCTTGCTTGAATACTTACTCATTTTGTAGTAGTGTTTCTGTAAATCTGTTTATATCTGCATATATTATTTTTGTACCAGCTGGTATTCAGGTCTTTTCAATTTTATACAATGAAATTTATGTTATTTCAAACTCTAGGTCATTCAAAAGATCCTTGAAACGTTTATTTTTATTCACTTAGCTTTTTAGGAAACCACTGTATTGTACACCTGACACTGATATAATTATTTGATGTTGCATACCGACTATACTTAAAATATTCATTTATGAGTGTACAGTATTTACTAGGAATGATCTGGGTTGAACAAGACAGACAACCTCATTTTCATGGGTTGTTGGTGGAACTCATTCTTCTTTGTGGGCTGTTGTATTTGTTGTTGGTGGTGGTGGTGGTGGTGTGTGTGTGTGTGTGTGGTACAAAGCCCTATGAAATCCTCTTTGAGACCACCCTCCACACTGATGCAGATTAATTAACCAACAATTTTTGTTGTTCAGAATAACACAACTTTACCAAACTGAAGTGTTAATTTCTCCATGTTGACTATAAGAATTGCATGAGCTTGTCAAATACCTTGGTAAAATAAAAACTCCATGTGAACAAGCATTTATTTTATCCAATTTAAGCAGTATGTTTTCAAAAAGGGAGGTCTTGAACTGAGCCAATGGATGAGTCTGATTTGGAGAGGAAACAATAAGAGCCAATATTTATTGAGCATTTATTATGTCAGATGGATGCATAGAAAATAATAACCTGTATTTATTGAGCATTTAGCATTTGTGATATACCAGACAACATTCTAACATATTTGATACTCATAAAAACCCTATGAAGTATATATTCTTCTTATTCGTATGTTATAGATATGGAAACGAAGGCTCAGAGAGGATAAATAACATGCTCTGGTTCCCTCAGCTATTAAATTGTGGAACTCAGATTCAATAGGCCTTCTCATTTAGAAGTTTAGGCTCTCCACCAGAACATTAGAAACATTCTGAGCACCTTAAGAAAGAGGAAACAGGAGCTCACCAATAGAATTGCATAAAAGACTAGAAAGGTCCTTGGGGCAAGATTAGGTGAAGTTGGATTTTGGACTTTATTCTATTTGTACTACTTGAACAGAGAGATAACAAAATGAAAGTCATGTTTGGGGAGTATATTGACCTGATCCCAGTGCACAGGATAGAACTGGTGAAGTTAGAAGGAGATTATACCCCTGTGAGGATGTTGTTGCCTTAGTTCCTGAGAAAGGAAAAGAGACATGGTATCTCTAGGAATGGAAATGGTGAAATGAATTGACAATTATTTGATATTTATTGGACATGAGGGTAAAGAGTTGAAAAATGACATCACACATGTTTTAGGCTGAGTGACTGAGAAAAATGATCATCTATTATCAGAATGTAGGAAGTTGGTGTTGCAAGCAGTTTGGTGGAATGATAATGAGTTCATTTCTAGATATGTTGAATTTCAAGTGAGAAGTCAGCTGGCTGTTGAAGCATTTAGATAGGAATTCAAAAGTGAGGTCACAGCTAAATATGAATATTTGGGAGCTATTATGATAGCTATGGTTAAATTTTTGGAGATCATACAATTTATTAGGAAAAGAAATTGAGAAAGAAATACAGAGGTCCAAGTTCGGAGCCTTATTTATTTATTTTTTAAATGTTTATCGTTGAAAGTTTTGCAGATGTCCCCTCACCCCCACACACTCTTCTAAACTCCCACCCCACCCCTGGCTTTCACCAACTATTGTCTATGTCCATAGGCTATGCATATATACATTCAAATTGGTTAATCTTTTCTTGCCCCCCTCTTCCCTCTAAGAAATCTCAGTTTGCTGCATGCTTCCATGTCTCTGGCTCTATTTTGTTTTTCACTTTATATTGTTCATTAGATTCCACATATAAGAGAGTTCTGAGGCTTTTAAACCATTACAATTGAGTATATGGAGAGAGGATAAGCTGAGAGGAAGCAAATATAGGAGTAAAAAAACAAAACAAAAAAACAAGCAAGTGGATCCATGTTATTTTGACATTTGGGTATTCAATAAAAGTTATTTTAAACATTAACTATTATCACATAGACACATAAATGTGCATAGCAGTGTGGTTGCTCTTATTATTAACAAATGTGAATAACAATACGATTATATAAAATACTGCCACATTAATTTTGTATAGTTATTGTTCTAAAAGTTATTAAACTTTTACTTTCATAACACTTTGAATAAGATACGGTTTTTAAATTTAGAAGTACATCTATTATACACACATTGAGACATTCTTTAAGAATATTTAAAATGCTATTCTGTACTGGTTTAGGAACCTAATATGATATTTCAAATTACAAACCCCATAAATCTTTTCTGGCATGTGTAGAAGTACCTAGAAGAAAAGTATTTACTCATATTGCATGTGATGACCATGCCCTGGTAAATAGCATTTGATTATTCACATTTTTTATTAGTAACTAAATACCTTTAGATATTTGTCTTATCCTTGAACAGTTATTGTCCTGTAGGAAAAGCCTTCTATCTAATAAAGAAAAACTGACTGGGAGTGTGATGGAGAAGAGGAGGTGGGGACCAAACTTGACAAATGCAGTCATCCTGGCATAGGGCACTGAATTGGATTTACAAATGTAAAATGTTTAGTTCTATTAGAAAATAATATTTCTATATGACATTTTTAAGTTTTTGAAAGCTATCAAGTTTAAAACATTTCCAGTGTTTTACTGCAAAGAAATTGAGCACAGAGTAAAGATCAATAGAATATTTTAACTGAACTTTTATAATTAAATATTTCCCACTGCTTTGAATATGTTTGATTTTCAATATATTATCATTCCTAAGTCTACTTCAAATGTTTTGTGTTTTTTTTTTAAAAAAACAGTGTATTTTAAAGTTGTTTGAGATTAAGCTCCTTATGAATTTTGAAATTAAAGAAACTGTGATGTTTATAAGGTTGGAAAATATGTAATTCAGATCTTTTAATGTGAAACATTCTGATTTCATTCATTTGGATTTGTTGTGCTACCAAAGAAAGCATTTCTAGGGCAAGCTAATGGCATTGTTTATCTTATGAGAACAGGCCTGTCAATTCCTCCATGCTAAAGATGTCGTTTGAAATATCTGAGCAGATAGTCATGCACTTTTTCTGAGGATAAGGAACAATTCTGCATTTTTAACTAAGGTTACTGGTATTTGATGAATGAGGCAATTTCTGATGAGACATATTTGCCCAAATGGTATTTATATCAGAATATTTAAAGCAGGATCAAATTCAACTTGAAAATATTGACAATTAGCCCCATCAAATATATGGAAATTGACTTTTGTTGAAAAAACAGAATGACGAATTGAATTGTCTTGCATGTGTATTCAGCTCTGATAATGTTAAATGTTTGTCTTTATTTGCATCCTCAGGTACTTTACTAGTGTTTTTTAAAACTTGCATAAAGTAAAATATGGACACCTAATGCATGTCATTATTTTAGCAACAGGAGGTTGAACAAATATATTTTTGGTTTATATTTCTTATAACAAGTAATTTTAATTTAAATTAGCACTATCTTTTTTTTTTAGGCCTCCATTCCTTTGAAGGAATTGGAGCAGTTTAACTCAGATATACAAAAATTGCTTGAACCACTGGAGGCTGAAATTCAGCAGGGGGTGAATCTGAAAGAGGAAGACTTCAATAAAGATATGGTAAATTGGTTCTGATGAAAGTGTGAATGAACTAGGAGTGAAAATAAATAAATATTTGGAAAGAAATTACATAACTCAGGCTACCAACTAAATTATCAGGCCATACCTTGCACATTTTCTGATTCCAATGATTTATAACAAATGAAAAATATTATTGTTGAGCTATTATTATGAATGACAAAGTACTATAGCATGGTCATATAGGAGCACTAACAGATTCTAATAAATAGCTCAGCAATTTTGCTTTGACCTGTACTCTTTTCAAACTCAAGAGGATAAAATGTAATGAGGATAAAAAAGATCGGAAAATAAACTGGAACTCAACTATCACTGATGGCTGAGCTTTTGTGTCAGTCATGTTTTTGGTAATACAACATTTATTTAAAAGAAAGGGCAATCACATATAGTATAAACATCGTTTGTTAAAGTTTACCACGATTGGTTTTACCAAAAAGTTGAACAAATAGTATAATATGTATATAAAATACATAAAATTTATGCTGCTTATTTCATGGGGGTAAAAAAATGTAACCATGTGGGCTATTCCCAAACTGGTAATTTCTTTATTCAACCCTGATTAATTTCAAAGTGTCTTTTATATTTCTTTCTGGCTTGAATATTTCTGTGTCACATCCCTTTTCACTGACTTTTTTTTCTCCTCCACCCTTTCACATTTTCCTTCTTTCACAGCCATCACCTATATGGCATCCTTAAACTTTACATATATTATTCTAGAGATTTCTGACATGTATTGATCCTAGAGGCTACTCAGACAATGCTTGAAAATGATATCCAAAGGCAGAATATATATATTTTTTTTAAAAAATAACAGGCATGCAAAGCAATAAGATAATTATTTCCACAAATCTCAGTTCCCTCTGGTATCAATTCTGGCTTCTGGGAGCTGCCTGAATCAGTGTTCCCTGTGTAAGGGGTTTGGGGGCCTTGCCAACTCAGCTCCTGGAAAGAAAGACAAGAAGAGGCTTTCCAAGATGCTGAGTTACAACTGTCTCTACTTCATGTCAAAGAAGAAACCCGAGGGCACCGAGTTGAAACAGTTTGCTGCTTACCTACCTCGGGCTGATCACCGCCTTTGGCCAATAGCTCTCACGGGGTTCAGGGAAATAAATTTTCTTGTTTATTTTTTATCCTCAGCCCTAGGAAATGTTGCAGACTTTTAAAGACATGTTAAAATAAGGAAGGTTTTTTTACATGCTATAAGTATACACAGGGGCAGGCAAAAGTATGTTTATAGTTGTTTGTATGATAAATAGTATAATAATAAAGAATAATACAAGGGTAAGTTGTGTTTTGTGTACTCACAACTGTAAGCATACTTTTGCCCAACCCTGCATATGTCTGTGTTACATTATTTCAATATACTAGTAACTGACAAATTACACATAAAAACCCCATTTATTCAAAAGAAAAATAGTTCCTCAGTTGTGTGTAGAAGTTTAAATATGTACAATAGATTTGAAAATGTGATATCTGACTCCATGAAGAGTTATACACACACATACGTGCATTTTTAAGAATTTTCTTATATTTGTTATTCTTAGCTCATCAGATTACCTTGAAGGATAAACCTCCTTGATAGAAAGTTTTCATACATTGAGTTGAAAGAAATATAAGAAACTAGACATGAAATAATACATGGTTACATATGTTAGTATATTAAACCAGAACTTATTCAAATAAATTCAAAGTACATAGAATAAAAATATTTTTGGAGTCCAAATAAGCAAAATACATATCAAAAACATTTAAAGTCATTTTTCTAATGTGTATTTAAATACTTATTTGATTGTATTTTGTTAAAAATAATATGCACATATGCCATTTTTAAGAAATGATTTGCAATATGTGACAGCAATTTAACACACCATTTTTTTTTAACAAATGTCCTAATATTTATCATGAATTTTGGACATTTAGGTTATTTAAATCAGAGATTGTTAGAAATTAGTGTACATTTAAAACAAAACGTTTTCACTTAAAAATGATTATGAAAATTTTAAGATTTGTTGCCATATCATACTCACACATCCACATCCATATTCTTATATGGACTACTTAGCATTATAAATGACCAGTTTAGTTTACTTCTCCTAACATTTTCAATTTCTAAAAATATACTGAAAATCAAAGCCAAAAGAATGCTTTCACAGCAATTCAGGACTTGTCTGAAATGATGAAGTACCTTATTCTCCCATCTGCCTACATATACCCCTTATCAAATGTGTCCTTTTGAACTAGACCAGAGGAAACTTCTTTTAAAAGTAAAAGTACAACATATAAAAGAAAAACTGTGAGCATAGTCTCTTATCATAACATTCCTTGAGAGTTTCAAATTGGATTTTTTGTGTTTAAATAACATGTTTTATTATCTTTGTTAATGATGTACAGCTTTTTTAAAAACCAAAATGAAGACTGTACTTGTTGTTTTTAATCAGAGTGAAGACAATGAGGGTACTGTAAAAGAATTGTTGCAAAGAGGAGACCACTTACAACAAAGAATCACAGATGAGAGAAAGCGAGAGGAAATAAAGATAAAACAGCAGCTGTTACAGACAAAACATAATGCTCTCAAGGTATTAGAGCTAAAATTATAATATACCTTGCCTGTGGTTTCTTTTCATATGTAGGGTAAAATATATTGTGCATAAATAAAGTCTGCTTAAGAATTTTACTCACCAGAAATACATTATTTCCCTGTTCAATGTGTGTGCTTTATCTAACATTTGTGAGTGGTGTCTTTAATTTTTAAAGATCTGTTGCTTAACAATTTTTAGGCTTTTTTTTTGGTTAGACAATTTTTGCTGAATAGAAATCCAAAGATATGAAAATACACCATGTGTAGCATTTCTGCATTTTGTTTTCTACTGGTTTATTCTTAGAAATTATGTTTACATTTATCTTGAAAACCCTGCTTAACTGCCAAAATAACCAATATATATTTTTGGGCTTTTTGATTCTTGTATGTTACTGATTTTATTTAAAATAGGTCCAATTTTTTTTGTTAGCCCATAACTTATTTAGTAAGGCCTGGGATTCTACTTGAATTTTTCAATAAATTTCATTTTCCCTTCAAGAGTCACTCTGCAACTAACTAAGCATTTGCAAGAGTCTAATTTTATTTATGAAGGAATCCTCAAAATAATGTTCATGTTCTTGAGGAAAAACTGGTACTCTCTTTCTAACCAGTGATAGTGTATTGCTTCAAGTACCCACATGATTCATATGGATTTGTTCAGGAAGGACATAATAAAGTACTGGTTTCTCTATAGTAATATGTGGGAGGTTCTTGAATTGATACTGGTCATGTGAAGAGTTTTGTGGAATAACCCCTTTTTATGTGCTTTGCAATCTTCACTATTTGCATGCATGGCTGATTTTATAATGCTGTTAATAGTCCAACTTCTCATTGTCAATCACTCTTTTAAAGCTATGTATCTGTGTAGGTGGATCCAACTAGTAAGTGGATGGAGTCTGCTTTCTATATGTCAATAAGAGTATAAAATCTTTTCTCATATAGTCAGATAACCAAATAAACACTGCTGAGAAAGTAATTACACAATATTGTGCTTTCAAGTAATCCACGAGGAAAGTCTAATTGGCCAGCAGGTGTTCTGAAGGTAACTGCTGAGAAATATAGTAAATACAAAAGGTCTGTTTCTAGAGGAAAAACAAGAGCAAGCCACAGTGTGCTCAGAAAAACAGAAATCTGTGTAACTCACACTCTTCCAACTGTGACCAAGCTTACAGAAAGGAGTATCTACACTGGTCATAAGATGAAATGTGTCTTACAGAATAGCAGTGTTTAGTATTTATCTGGTATAGCTCTAATGAAATCTATAGAATACCTCTAAATATTTTTACACAGTACACATTACCTTGTGCTTAGTAAACCAAAAGAGTTTCATATTGTATGAGCAGAAGCCATTTCTTTTGGAAAACATGTGAGTTGTGTCATGATTCTCATTCCACCTGGCTGTGTCTTGATACCTTTGAAAAAAGCAGCATTCCATCTGGTTCATCCCAGGCATTTATTATCTCCACAAGAGATTTAGAAATTCAACTAAAAATGTAAACTGCAGCAAATTTTACATCCCCAGTTTTAAACAAAATAGAGAGCAAAATGTATATTATTATTGAAAATGTGTGTTAGAAGCAGTGAATGAAATTCTACTCCACTTGCCAAACCAATCTACACCACACAGTTCAGTATATATGTCAACCTGCCCATTGTGTCCAATTCTAATCCTTATAAAATAGTTCAAATAAGTTTAAAACCTTCTAATATAATGAATATTTTAGCAGTTCTTTGAGACTCGTTATTTTCTTTTTCTCCAATTAAATCTATACATGAAGCCCTAATTGCTACTGCTCTGACAAAATGAAAGCTGTATTCTGAGCTCATACATTCCCTCATGTTACCATAAAATGGTATTTCAACAAGTCTTATTGATCAGAGAAGATATTGGTTGTGCTTGTACAGAGAAAGATAATTAATTGCCCTATTGTTGACTTATTAAATCAGCCACCCTTATTTATCTCATCAGGTTGATTGGCAACCATGTACTATTCCTTTGCTTTTTAAAATAATGCATTGTTTTGCATTTGGAGCATGGCTGGATAGAGAAAGAAGTTGGCCATGCAAGCCTTGAAAGGAAAAAAAAGCATTTTGTATACATGCATAAAAGTACAACCAATGGACACAAAACTCTGGGGAGGGAGGGTATGTATAGGAAGGGGGCAATGTTAAAATATGTACACAGATAATAATTTAATAAAAATATTTTAAAAATAAAATAAAAAGAATAAATTTTAAAATCTAAAAAAAAAGCATTTTTATAACATTGAAACTGTCATTTTAATGTACACTCATGGGAATACCATTTTCACACTTCTCTGTATACTAGAGGCCTGGTGCCTGAGGTTCATGCACTCGTGGGGGTAGGAGGTCCCTCAGCCCAACCTGTGCCCTCTCACAATCTTGGAGCCCTTGAGAGAGGTCCCACTGATGGCTTAGGCCCAAACAGGCAGACATCCTCAGTGTTGCCACGGAGGTGGAAGAGGCTCCAGCCACCACCACTGTGCTCGCCATCAGTGAGCCCAGCTTCTGGCTGAGTGGCACTCCCCCTGCGGGACCCCACTGACCACCAGGGGAAGGCTCCTGCATTGTGCATCTGCCCACACACGGTGGTCATTGCATTATAGTGACTGGTCTTTCAGCTGTTCAGTGTTTTTTCATAAACCATTTTCACAGGGATTTCTAAAACCATGAATTAAGTTACTGTACCACATAGATTTAAAATGCTTGTGTATGAACCCAGGGTGTAAGCTATACATTTTAGAAAATGTTAACCTATTTTAAAAGTCAATTACAAACTTAGGTTTGTACAAGTGTCTAGTTTGATCAATTGTATCCATATTAAACTATTTCAAATAGATTATATGATCATTTAGTTCACTTAACAGAATTTCTAATCAAGTTTAAACATGCCAAGAGGAAATACTTTCAGTTGGTCATTCAAATTTCTTAGCTTCATGGTTTTGCCACATAAGTACATAATTTGATCATCTATTTGTATGTTCAGCATTTTAATGGAAATTTAATCAAAGTTATACAAGGAGGTGAGGGACTCAAATTATTTTTGAATAACTACAGCCAGATGTTTACTATACATATATATTGATATTTTAATAATATCTGCACCATGAACAGGATTTGAGGTCTCAAAGAAGAAAAAAGGCTCTAGAAATTTCTCATCAGTGGTATCAGTACAAGAGGCAGGCTGATGATCTCCTGAAATGCTTGGATGATATTGAAAAAAAATTAGCCAGTCTACCTGAACCGAGAGATGAAAGGAAAATAAAGGTAATGTTGTTTTAGAATGTCAATCCTAGATTTTATTGCTACCATTTTATTTATTTAACTTAAACTGTGTGGATCATATTTCAAATGTTGATATGGTTATTTATTAGTGTTCACTCTGACTTTATGTATTTCCTCGTATTGTATTTTTTTAGTAAATGTATTGTATTAAGTGTTTTCAACTGACTTAATGTTGAGTGAATAAACTTTTATTTTTTGACAATGTACAATTTAATTAAGAAATGTCATGTGTTTTCTGGTAAAATTGTAATTGACTTTGTGTATCTTTGTTCCAGATGAACAAATAACTTATTGGTATATGGACGGCTTCTTTCTCATGTTAGCACATTCATTTCATCAGAGCATCTTCACACATCATTGTCAAATCTCTGTAGATGTATTTGCATATTGTCTGAAGATGTTTTTTATGTTCTTTCTTTATTTTTTATTTTGCTTCATTCTCTGTTGAATTCCTCAAAATTTTATAAAAAGGAAATAAAAATTTATTGATTCATCCTCTAAATTATATTCTATATGGATGGTCCCTAATAATAAAAAATCACTCCAATTTGGGTTAACCCCCCAAACAGGAGAGGAATTGAGAAGAAGAAAAATATTAGATCAATTTAAATATTTTATTAATTAGGGTATCTAGCTAGAACTGAGCATTCAAAGGATAACTGAAATAATATTTGGGTTCTTGGGTGAAGATGAAGTAATGGCTTCCATATTTGTAAATTCTGAAAAATTGCAACAGCCTATGAAATTTCTGAGGGAAGTATGTGCTGCTTATAGGTTGGTTGATATGGTTAGCTAACTGCCCTGGGCCCTGTATTGGTTTTGCTCAATAGGAAATTGATCGTGAATTGCAGAAGAAGAAAGAGGAGCTGAATGCAGTGCGTAGGCAAGCTGAGGGCTTGTCTAAGGATGGGGCCGCAATGGCAGTGGAGCCAACTCAGATCCAGCTCAGCAATCGCTGGAGGGAAATTGAGAGCAAATTTGCTCAGTTTCGAAGACTCAACTTTGCACAAATTGTGAGTTGTTACTGGCAAACCCACGTATGTGTTTGCAGCTGCTACTCTAATAACAGTGGCCTACTAACAAAACTGGAAAACAATAAAAAAAACAAAATCTGGGTGCAATTTCAAACTTCTAATATGCATTCTGAAAGTGAATAGTTTCCACTCACTTTGGCTTCTGTAACACTAGTGGCTAATTTTTCAGATTAAAAATATAATAAATTAACATCATAGGAAGCAGCCCCTTATCAAAATGGAAAAAATACATCTTTTTTCTGCATCATTTTTCATAACATAGGCAGTGTAATTTGTCAATTTATCATACATTTACTTTATTTCAGTGTCTAATCAAAAATTGCTTTCTTGAGATCATCTCATGCTACTTTTGCTTTCTTAATGTATACATGAAAAATAATAAATATTTTGTGAATCATCTTATATCACCTTGCATAAGCCCTTATATCATTGACTTAAAAATAATAGCTTAGTCCTCATCTACTTAATGTGTTCAACAGTTTATTAGAAGAAATTGATGCCTAGTTAAGATGGTTGAAAATTGATAGCAGATTGAAAAACTGTTAAATATTGTGACTACTAAAATATCTCAAATCAAAGAAAAAGGAATAACTGCTACTCTTTTAAAAAAGTGGCTGGAAAATTTGTGATTCTGTCTTTTAAAAGGTGATTGCTAAATGGAAACTGGGTCTTCTTAGCACTTCATTTGTAGTAGGCATATAAACCTTAGGGATTTTTTTTTAACACATGCATGTTTTCATTCTGTTCTGAGAAGTTGTAAAGTGAAGAGGAATGGTTACCACTCTGTAATTAGGCTAAGAGAGTACTCTCCCCAAAACCAGGATATCAGAGCCTGGAAAATGAGGCTTTATAATTGTAGTAGATTAAATAATATGAAATCAACAGATAGTCAACCATTTTTTACCTATATAATGGTAATTCCATTTATTTTAATCCATAGGTAAGACTTTTGGGGGGAGGGGCTTCTTATGTGATATTATTAATTCCATTTAATATGGTGTATATTTGAAAATGTCTCAGAGCAATTAATATAACTATTATGAGCATATAATTCTGTTACTACTTCTTAGTAATCAAAGGAATATATACTTCGTATTATTGTGACTTCTTTTACATGTTAGAAAAATCCATGAATACACTGCTTTCTCTGAAATCCAGTACTCTAAGATTTAATAGCAGCTGAATATTTTGAGACATTGGACGTAATACAATACATTTAAACTATATTACACACACACACACACACACACACACATATATATATATATATATATATATATATATATATATATATATATATTCGATAATTAATTTCAGAGAGGAAGGCAGAAGGAGACAGAAACATCAATGATGAGAGAGCATCACTGATTGTCTGCCTTCTGCACGCCCTCCCTGGAGATCGAGCCCTCAATCCAGGCATGTGCCCTGCCTGGGAATTGAACCCTGACCTCTTGGTTCATAGGCCAACACTCAAGCACTGAGCCACATCAGTCAGGCTAAACTATATTACATTTGACCTCTAATTCCAGCTGATTGCAATTTTCAGATCAGATGTTATGACCGTATAAGTTAAGCTTACAGTAGAAAGCCTGTGTTTGTGAAAGCAAAAAGAATTGAAAGATTAGACAACTATAAAGAAAATTCAAGTACAAAATGTTTGCTTTGATTTAATAGATTATTCAAGGAGAAGTCCTTTGCTTTTAATTATCTGACTACTATTTTCTCCATTCTAATTATTCTCAAATATTAAAACACACTATATATGCAGGATTACATTTTTTTCAACCTGGTAAAGGTATGTCATTAACACTTTATAATTAAATATACACAGTATAAAAAATCTCCATCAAACACACTTAAAATATCATTATGTAATAATTACACATAATAGCCTCCCAACAATATTTATAAAACATAACCATAAGATGTTTGGTGAAATAAAGTAAGGCTATCTAAACCACTATAAAAACTCAAAAATAACTTATAGTAAAATAATAAGATATATTTTCCCACAAACCATTTCTTCTTGATTTTATATCTGAAAGATTCAAAATTCAGAAGGTGCTGAATTCGGGAAAATATTTTTAGGTAAATCTTGATTTTTTCCATGATAATACAAGCAATAACAATATGTATGAAGAATAACCAATTTTATGTTACTATTATATTTGACTTTGTATTTTAATTAGTCCTAAAATATGATAGGTGGTTGATATATCCAAGATGTATCTTTTTAAAAAAAATATATTTTATTGATATTTTACAGAGAGGAGGAAGGGAGAGAGATAGAGAGCTAGAAACGTCGATGAGAGAGAAACATCGACCAGCTGCCTCCTGCACACCCCCTACTGGGGATGTGCCCGCAACCAATGTACATGCCCTTGACCGGAATCAAACTCGGGACCTTTCAGTCCGCAGTCCGACGCTCTACCACTGAGCCAAACCAGTTTCGGCAAGATGTATCTTTATATTCCATTATATTTCACCAATAGTAACATATATTAAGAAATGTGATGTGACGTGTCCACTAATTAAAGGCATCTTTCCCAATTATTCTATGATGAGGCCATTTGTAATATCCACAAGCAAATAGCTTAACCAAAAGTTATATTTGCAATAATCCTACAGTGGCCCTGATGTAGCGCAGGTGGTCAGAGTTTCGAAATTCCTTACCTCACTCTTCATTCCACTTCTCTGTTGTTTTTTTTTTTTCTTTCAAATATTTTTATTGATTTCAGAGAGAAAGGGAGAGGGAGTGAGAGATAGAAACATCAATGATGGAAGAGAATCATTGTTAATCTGCCCTCTGCATGCCCCACAGTGAGGATCAAGCCCACAAGCAGGGCATGTGCCTCAAGCAGGAATCCAACTGTGACCTCCTGTTCCATAGGTCAATACTCAACCATTGAGCAACATCAGTCAGGCTTCTCTTTTCAGTTTTTCTCATCTTTCTCTTAAATGTCCCTTTCTGTTCTTTTTAGCTATAAACTTTAGTCTTTATTGGACTTAATGAATTCCAGTTAGTCGTTCATATGTTAGCAGTGGCAATTGAAGATTGTAGGCAGGACTGTAAAATGCTTAATATTTGATAGCTGAGTTTAAAATGAGGAATTAATTTTTCTATTTTAGAAGTAAAGACACATAAATATAGGCTAGGTAGTGTAAATATTAGTGCACTTCAGGGACTATGTCCATGTCACAGCTATATAAGCAAAGAAAAAAAAACAATAAGAACAATTCATGGACACAGACAACAGTATGGTGATTACCAGAGGGAAAGGGGTGAGGGGAGTTAGAATATGGGAAAAAGAGGATAAATGGTGATGAAAAACTTGACTTTGGGTGGTGAACACCCAATACAATGTATACTGAGTAACCAGAATGTTATGATCTCTGAAGGCATAATAATCTGACCACTCAGCATACACACACACACACACACACACACACACACACACACACACACACAGTATATTATAGAATTATATACTTAAAAACTAAGTATTTTTATTAACCAAAATTACCCCACTAAATATTTAAGAGACCAAAAAATATAAAAATCTTAGTAAAAGAAGTAATTGTCCCTTTACTAACTATAACTCCATTTGCCCTGGATATCCTATAGTTTCAAATTCCAAGTAAATAATGCTGATATTAAATATTTTATATCCAACAACTCTTATTCAGCTTCTTATTTTGGATGTTTAACATATATCTCAAAGATAAGGTAGCCAAGTCATGAATAATTTATTTCTCCCCACATAAATTGGCTCCTATGGAGTTCTTTGAGTGTAAATTGCCCTTTCACTTAGTAAAAAACCTAGACATCATCCATGATTCCATTTTTCTCTTATATTATTAATGAAATTCACTTCAAATCCTGGGAGGTAGAAACATCAATGATAAGAGAGAACCATTGATCAGATGCCCCCTGCACACCCCACACTGGTGATCTCGCTGGCAACTCGGACATGTGCCCTGACGGGGAATTGAACTATGGCCTCCTGGTTCATAAGTTGACGCTCAACCACTGGGCCACAAAATAGATTTGTTCCAATTAACACTGCTCATTGTGAAACTTGACTACAGGATGATCATCTCTCATCCTTTATACTTCAGCAGCCTCTAAGTCTTGCTTTCAGTCTTTTTCCACTTATTCTATATTCTCCCTGGTAAAGCCAGAGAGCTCCAAGATCATAAGTGAAATTCTGTCAACTCCCTACTGATCATTACCTTTCACCAAAATCCTTTGAGCATCTATATAATATGAGCCCTGACTGTCACTTCTATTACTCCAAATTTATCTTCATTTTTGCCAGCCTCCTGTCATAGAGGTATAAAAGGTTCTCCTGTACTTAAACACACCAAGTAATTTCCATCTTAGGACCATTCCACATATTGTTTCTTCATGAAAAATGTTTTGCCTATATTTTTGCATAGGTGTTATAACGTAACCACTCTGCCATTTAGGAACAGTGAACCTTTAGTAGAATGTTGATATATAATGTAGACAACTAATACTTAATAGGGATTTTTTCTCCTTTAGAAGTAATTTTATACTCCTCATAATTATACATGCCATTTGGGAATTTAATACAATTGTCCACAACAGCAGGTTTTATTGCAGCTAATTTTGAAAGTGTGTGTACTGAGAAAAGACAAAATGTTCTGGAAGCCTAACATTGAGGTGCTGAAAGGTGAATATGAGGAAGGTTACAATAATGAATTGCAAAGGTTAGCTTTTACTATATTAGAGTAAATTAGAATAAAGTATTTTGACAGCATATATTTTCTAAATATAAAAGTTCTTGATAAGTTTAAATAATACTAACTTTCTTAGTCTATTCACTTTATTTTTCAATTTATTTATTTTTAGAGGAAGAAAAGGAGAGGGGAGAGAGAAACATCCATTTGTTGTTCCACTTATTTATGCATTTACCGGTTGCTTCTTGTTTGTGCCCTGACTGGGAATTAAACTT